GGAAGCACTGGACGGCTGTTTCGTCTTATCCTGAGAGTGGGATCTTGAATGCGCACTGCTGAGGAGTCCCACAACGAAACGGTCGTCCGGTATTTTCAGGTTTTCAATGGCGGTCTAACATCAATCAATTCATGATCTCAATCAAATACTGGTATGAGTTAGAAAAGCAGTATCGGTTACGAAATGTTAGATAAACACCTTCCATTGTAACCTTTAAGGTCTCATTACACATAAGGTATGTTCAAGGTGTTCGTTCGAGATAGTTAAAAAGAAACTCTGAACCTATGTTCCGTGCTATTTGACACCCAACAACAAATTATACCCGAAATCTTGAGAAATCTGATGTTTACCGACGAATTCCATGCTGTGTCACCCAGCTTCAGAGCCAGAGATGTGAATACTGAGATATCCGGGCCGCGAATGATCTCCTGTAGGACTGTAATGTATTCGCTATTGATTGATTACTGGCTAGTTACTAATGTCATATGTGTCAGATCAGTCTTAATGTAGACCGAATTCTATCGATTAAATTAAAATGTAGCCACTAATCTAGGTAACTCGACAACGTGTGCACCATTTTGATGGATGGAGATAGTCGATATCTCTGATTATGCTATTGAGTAATCTTGGTTAGAATCCTGTGAAAATCATCACTTCTTATAAAAGTACAGACATAGCTTTAATGGTGAACCAAAAATAGCACTAGAATACCTTATAATCCTTTTCAATCCCTAAAAATTCAGGGGACAATTTAGGTGCATTGCTGTCTTTGATTACAAAATTTGATGTAGTTCAACTGTGGCTAATTGCGCGATCTAAAACAAGCGTTTCATTCACCTGAAGTGTTCGAAATAGAATGAAACACACATACTAGATTTCTTTGCTAACTACAATCCAACGAACGTCAAGACAGCTCTACTGTATGGAGCTGAAACTTGCACAACTACCACAACCATAATCAGGAAGGTAAAAGTACTTATAAATAATTGTCTACGCAATATACTCAAAATCGATTGGTCGGATACCATCAGCAACAGCTTTCTGTGACAGAAAACAAACCACTGTTCAACTAAAGAGGAAATTAAGAAAAGACGATGGAAATGGATAGGACATACATTACGCAAATCGTCAAGCTGCATCACGAGAAAAACCCTAACTTGGAATCCTGAAGGAAGGCGGAAAACAGGAAGGCCAAAAAGAACGCATTACGTCGGGAAATAAAAGCCGATATGAGAAGAATGAATAACAACTGGAAGGAGCTGGAAAGGATTGCCCAGGACAGGGTTTGATGGAGAATGCTGGTGTACGGCCTATGCTCCTTTACGAAGAGAAACAGGCGCAAGTAAGTAAGTAAGTAAGTAAGTTAAGTTTTATGTTTTATTAAATTGTATTGAATAATATTTAACTTTCATTCATGTAGAAAACAATGTCAGTTGAATTAAACTACAATAATAATTAAGATGAAATTTCGAAATACATGTGAACTATTTTACAATGTAATCTAATAGTTGAGTTCATGAATCATTTAAAGCTAGATCACCATGGAAAACTACTGTAGCCTTGGTAGGAAAAAAAGCCTTTCTGCATCACTTTACCATTCAGAAGTGATTCAAATAGCCTTTTTATTGAAAAAAAGTTTCAATCAGTCATTAACAAAACGTATTGCGCAGCAAAAGTCATTATCAAAGAAAGAACAAGGTTCATTCTTCATCCAAAACCTAAAAGACATGAAAACAATTGTGTCATATCGCACTATGTTCATCAATTTCAATGTGTGTGGTCACACATACATGAGGAGGAGGAATGGTGATATCCAAATGAGGGTGTGCGAACATGTACCGAAATGACTGCACAAACATACAGAATCAAATGACCGAATAAGGGTAGAGGATAAACATCCATCATCCTCTATTGCTAAACCCATAATTGAAACAGGTCATTAGATTGATCTTAGCTCGACTTTTGTGGTGTTGTATAAAAGTGTAAAAGGGCATATACTAAGGTTTATTGAAGCCTTAGCCTTACGAAGATTCAAACCCCCTCTGTGTATTCAAAAAACAGTTTGTTCTCACTTTAAACCTACGCTGATAATATCAGCTTATTATCCAAAGTGATGATAAGGTTTCAAATCATTTTCACATTATTTCTTTATTATCCTTGTCTCCTTTCACCTTTCATTTCTAGTCTAGTTAACTTAACAAGTATATATGTGATCAGATTGTTCGAAATGTACTGCGCTAATAGCTCATCACGTAGCTCCGATTATCTTTGTATTCTTATTACATTATGGGAAAAAAAGTTGTCGATCTGTTATGCCAATAGGCGGTTTTCTAGTTTAAACACAATGAATAATGTCATTAGTTAAGATCATGAGTCAATTAAAATTAGATCATCATGGAAAACCTAGAAGCATTGGACAGCCGTTTCATCCTATTGTGAGACTCTTCAATTTCAATTGACTCATGATCTTAACTTGTTTTGTTTATTTATCTGAATACATAAATATTGGTATAAGGGGGGGGCACCATAATATATATATATATACTGCCCGGGTGTGCAGACCGAAGCAGGTAATGCTCCGGACATTCGATTTTCATCCTCTCAATTTCGTAGACAACACCCCAAACATGAGAAGGCAGTGAATAGGACTTAACTATTCAAATGACTACAATCTCGACAATACTTCTTCTGATATATTGAATAATGATGACTTGATAAAGACAGAAGTAAATATATATTTATGTCACTATTATAAAATATGAATCATTTTAATTAATATATATCTCAACTGTATTCATCTGCCTGGAGTCCCTCCGGGGGCTACTGCCGGTCCCAAACCCGGATAAAGGAGGAGGGTTGGGCATGGGGTTAGCGTCCCCATCCCGTAGAAAACTAACTCGCTAAAAAAACGCTAACCAGAAAAAATTATTCAAACCTTTTAAACTCTGCATTGGGAGTCAGAAGGTCTTCATTTAGAAGAATTATGACGCCTCATGATGAAAGCCGAATTCCTTCGGAAGTCACGAGGCCGATGCCCCTTCTGATAACCAGAGCGACCATTTATTTAGGTACATGGAATGTTCGTACAATGTGGGACACCGAAAGAGCCTTCCAAATTGCTGCAGAAATGAGAAGATACAACCTAGAGGTACTTGGGATCAGTGAAACACATTGGACACAAGTTGGACAACAACGAATAACTACAGGAGAGCTCCTGTTATACTCCGGCCATGAAGAAGAAAATGCACCACACACACAAGGAGTTGCATTGATGCTGTCCAAACAAGCGCAAAATGCACTTATAGGATGGGAATCCCATGGACCAAGGATCATCAAAGCCTCGTTTAAAACAAAGAAAGAGGGCATTTCAATGAACATCATCCAATGCTATGCGCCTACCAACGACTACAATGAAGACGCTAAAGATCAATTCTACAATAGGCTGCAGTCAATCGTCGAGAAGTGCCCAACAAAGGACCTGACCATTCTGATGGGAGATCTAAATGCCAAGGTTGGAACGGACAACACTGGATATGAAGACATCATGGGACGATACGGACTGGGAGAAAGAAACGAAAATCGTGAGAGATTTGCAAATCTATGTGCCTTCAATAAGCTGGTCATAGGCGGCACCGTATTCCCACATAAACGCATACACAAAACCACATGGACTTCACCGGATCACTCTACACAAAACCAAATCGACCATATTTGCATCAACAAAACGTTCAGGAGGATTATAGAGGACGTGAGAACCAAGAGAGGAGCTGATATAGCATCAGATCATCACTTACTGGTCTCCAAGATGAAATTGAAACTCAAGAAGCACTGGACAACGGGGCAGACAGTATCACAAAAGTTCAATACGGCCTTTCTCCAGGATACTAACAAACTCAACAAATTCAAGATAGTCCTCAGCAACAAGTTCCAGGCATTTCATGATCTACTCAATGGAGAAGGAACTACTGTGGAGAGCAACTGGAAGGGGATCAAAGAGGTAATCACTTCAACATGTCATGAGGTCCTGGGTCACAAGAAGCACCATCACAAGGAATGGATCACTGTTGATACACTGGATAAGATTCAAGAAAGAAGAATCAAGAAGGCAGCGATTAATACCAGCCGAACAAGAGCAGAAAAAGCTAAGGCACAAGCTGAATACACGGAAATAAACAAACAAGTGAAGAGGAGCATCAGAACCGACAAACGTAAATATGTGGAAGATTTAGCAACGACGGTGGAAAAGGCTGCAAGAGAAGGAAACATGAGACAATTGTATGACATGACAAAGAAACTCTCTGGAAATCGCCGCAAACCAGAACGACCAGTGAAAAGCAAAGAAGGCAAGGTAATCACCAACATTGAAGAGCAACAAAACAGGTGGGTAGAACACTTCAAAGAACTCTTGAATCGACCAGCTCCACGGAACCCACCCAACATCGAAGCAGCACCCACGGACCTCCCAATCAATGTTGGCCCACCAACAATTGAAGAAATCAGCATGGCCATCAGACAAATCATGAGTGGCAAAGCAGCAGGACCGGAAAACATCTCAGCAGAGGCACTAAAAGCAGACGTAGCGGCAACTGCAAGGATACTCCACATTCTCTTCAGCAAGATTTGGGATGAGGAACAAGTACCAACAGACTGGAAAGGACTACTGATCAAAATACCGAAGAAAAGCGACCTCAGCAACTGTGATAACTACAGGGGCATCACTCTTCTCTCAATACCGGGAAAAGTCTTCAACAGGGTATTGTTAAACAGAATGGAGGACTGCGTAGACGCCCAACTTCGTGACCAACAGGCAGGATTCCGTAAGGATAGATCGTGTACAGACCAAATCGCAACTCTACGGATAATTGTGGAACAATCAATTGAATGGAATTCATCACTCTACATCAACTTCATTGACTACGAAAAGGCATTTGATAGCGTGGACAGAACAACACTGTGGAAACTTCTTCGACACTACGGCGTGCCTCAGAAAATAGTCAATATCATACAGAACTCATATGAAGTGTTATTGAAGTGTTATTATTATTATTATGGTTTAATCCTAACCATGTTTCAGTTAGATATGGTATTGTATATTCATAAAATAAATAACCTTGTTCAGTCATAGCACTACGACATTTAATAAGACTTAATTCATTATCATATGGACATTGATTAGGTATTTCACCAACACATGCAGATTGACAATTATGAAAACAAAATTTACCCCATGGGGCTATAGGACATTGAAAGAACATACTATAACCATTAAGTATATTATTATTATTATTATTATTATTATTATTATTATTATTATTGACTTCTTATTGTTTATTATTGAATGAATGAACTTCACAACGTATTATTAATGGTTGATTTAATTGTACTTGATTAGACGATGGATTAAAACTTATAGTTAATGGTGTATCTGATTCAATATCTAATGGTTTACTATAAATGATCATAATTCCATAGATCATTAGTGATAATAATGAAAGAATCATTTCTACAATTGAATGTAATGAACTCGATCTTGAATGATACAACATGGTCTTCTTCTTCTTCTGCTTCTTCTTCTTCGTAGAAACTGGGACACTTCAATTAGTTGTTCTTTGTTCTCTTATCATGTAAAGCATATGATGGATAAAATAAGGTGTTTCATTGAATTAAATAAAGGACATAGTAACTAATTTATAATTTAGTTATTCCATTAGTAATTTGTTTCTATGTAAAACGAAAAAAATTTTTTTTCTGTCATAAACTAAGAGAACAGACGACAATTTTGTATTTTAGATCCAGGACATAGTATTTTTTGAAAAATCATCTCTTTCTCCAGAAAAGTTATTCACATGTTGTTCACACTACAATAAATGATCATCATTAAAAAATGATAATAAGCAACAGATTCTTTTCTTTTTTTGAAAACCCACCTCCCCCTCCTCCAAAGAAACCTTACTACACCATACTACAGCATAGCACAGCACACAGAAATTGAAGTATTCAATGGAAGCATATTTCAATTGAATTTGAATATGAAGTGAAAGATTTCAAGTGAGAGTATAATTTATGGATGATGTGTTGAGCGATGCCAAGATAATCTTGAAATTGTTCACCTAATAACTAGGATTAAATGAACACCGATTACCACGATGTGCAATGTTGATTAGTGTAGGGGATAGCTAGAAGAAAGTTAGGGACAGCCAAACCAACACGTGGCATCAGTGCTTGAAGTCATCAACTTTTAGTTTGAGCCATGCTGGTAGATACAGACTACTTGATTGGGATCTGTGTGACTATCGTAATCAATGGTTGGAGACTGTGTGACGGCTCAGAATCGATCACAATGGTGTAGTTGTATACACTTCCTTTCTTACTTTAAACTATGAGATTAAAATCGCTTTATATCTTTCTTTCTACGGACTAATTCTTTCTTCCTGTACTATATCCTTATACACAATGTTCCTTTTATGTATTACTACCATCTTGTTGTTCTAATGCGGTATGGCAACTTAGATCAATGCATATATGTATATATACCTGGTCCTACATTTTAGTTGATTGACTGACTGGCTGAGCTATAATGCTGAAACCCTATTTAAGCAAATGGTTGATTAAATTTTGCGCTAGATGAGGGGCGAGACTATAATTCATAGAAGGACCAATCACATCCAGGATAATAGATTTCGGATTTGGGATCGAAATTCATTCATTCATTTGGGTAAAAAGCGTTTTGTCATTTTAGTTGATGTCAGTAAGTGATGAAAAACCGTAAACCTAATTCCTAACTCTTAACCATCAACTATAAATCATAATCCTTATACTTCATGCAGGTTTATAACTTTCATATTTAGTCGCAGCAAGTAGAGTGGACATTCTTAAGGTCATTTTGGCGTCGCTCGAAGGTCGTCCATAAATTATAGTCTCACCTCTTTGTAATTTTTGTTTTTGTAGTGAACGAACACTCACGTGGGGGCAATCAATTTATTTTTAGTACACACAGAAACTCTTGAAAAAAATATGAGAGTCAGTCAGCTACAACATAAGACCTGATACATATATGCATTGGTCCAAGTTTGTCATACCTCATTACCACAACAAGATGAACACTGAATTTATAGAAGTAGTTACTTCAAAGTATAGTCTTGAATGCTGTTGGAGATATGAGGTCGGTTAGCACTTTCCAGTTGCCCGCAACTTGGACGGGTTCTTCTAGAGATACTTTAAAAGGAAATTGTATTAGAGGTGGTCCTAGTGATTTGAGAGAGTGACCGCAGTGCCCAGAGGACAACTGCTTAAGGTCGGTTACACATGAACTTTTTTGAGATAACTTAGTACTTGTTGATACCATATCGCCAGATACGGAATTCAGTGGGATAAGGCGAGATGTGTATTTTTGATAGGTCGACCTTTTCTAACCCCACCCTTTCTTGTGAGAAGGCAGCATCGCTGTTATACTGGTTGTCTGAAAGAAACATCTTACTACCGTCACATCACTGTATAGTTAGCAGTACGACTTCGCCTTGGATTTGCTGCTTTTAGTCCTACTGTTCTTCAACCAACCTATCTGACATGGTAGGACCTTGACGATCGATTGTTCCAGCCAGTACAGCACGATTGATTCATTACAGTAGGTGAGATAGGCCACCACGTCAAAGTAGCAGTAACAGTCGGTGATAAAATTTGAGAACCATACATTGAATAATTTCGGTGAGAAATTCCATTATTTGTCCTTCACATGGACTTCACCGGATCACTCTACACAAAACCAAATCGACCATATTTGCATCAACAAAACGTTCAGGAGGACTATAGAGGACGTGAGAACCAGGAGAGGAGCTGATATAGCATCAGATCATCACTTGCTGGTCGCCAAGATGAAACTGAAACTCAAGAAACACTGGACAATGGGGCGGACAGTATCACAAAAGTTCAATACGGCCTTTCTCCAGGATACTAACAAACTCAACAAATTCAAGATAGTCCTCAGCAACAAGTTCCAGGCATTTCATGATCTACTCAATGGAGAAGGAACTACTGTGGAGAGCAACTGGAAGGGGATCAAAGAGGCAATCACTTCAACATGTCATGAGGTCCTGGGTCACAAGAAGCACCATCACAAGGAATGGATCACTGTTGATACACTGGATAAGAGTCAAGAAAGGAGGAACAAGAAGGCAGCAATCAATACCAGTCGAACAAGAGCAGAAAAAGCCAAGGCACAAGCTGAATACACAGAAGTAAACAAACAGGTGAAGAGGAGCATCAGAACCGGCAAACGTAAATATGTGGAAGATCTGACAACGACGGCGGAAAAGGCTGCAAGAGAAGGAAACATGAGACAATTGTATGACATGACAAAGAAACTCTCTTGAAATCGCCGCAAACCAGAACGACCAGTGAAAAGCAAAGAAGGCAAGGTAATCACCAACATTGTAGAGCAACAAAACAGGTGGGTAGAACACTTCAAAGAACTCTTGAATCGACCAGCTCCACTGAACCCACCCAACATCGAAGCAGCACCCACGGACCTCCCAGTCGATGTTGGCCCAGTAACAATTGAAGAAATCAGCACGGCCATCGGACAAATCAAGAGTGGCAAAGCAGCAGGACCAGACAACATTACGGCAGAGGCCCTGAGAGAAGGCCTAGAGGCAAGTGCAAGGATACCCCACATTCTCTTCAGCAAGATTTGGGATGAGGAACAAGTACCAACAGACTGGAAAGAAGGATACCTGATCAAAATACCGAAGAAAAGCGACCTCAGCAACTGTGATAACTACAGGGGCATCACTCTTCTTTCAATACCGGGAAAAGTCTTCAACAGGGTATTGTTAAACAGAATGAAGGACTGCGTAGACGCCCAACTTCGTGACCAACAGGCAGGATTCCGTAAGGATTGATCGTGTACAGACCAAATCGCAACTCTACGGATCATTGTGGAACAATCAATTGAATGAAATTTATCACTCTACATCAACTTCATTGACTACGAAAAGGCATTTGATAGCGTGGACAGAACAACACTATGGAAGCTTCTTCGACACTACGGTGTGCCTCAGAAAATAGTCAATATCATATAGAACTCATATGATGGATTACACTGCAAAATTGTGCATGGAGGAGAGTTGACAAAGTCGTTCGAAGTAAAGACCGGTGCGGGGCAAGGTTGTTTACTCTCACCCTTTCTCTTTCTCCTGGTGATCGACTGGATCATGAAGACGTCAACGTCTGAAGGGAAGCGCGGGATACAATGGACATCTAAGATGCAGTTGGATGATCTAGACATCGCAGACGATCTGGCCCTTCTATCCCAAACGCAACAACAGATGCAGGAGAAGACGAACAGTGTGGCAGCAGCGTCAGCAGCAGTAGGTCTCAATATACACAAACGGAAAAGCAGGACTCTCCGATACAACACAGCATGCACCAATCCAATCACAATTGACGGAGACGATTTGGAAGATGTAAAAACCTTTACATATCTGGGCAGCATCATTGATGAACAGGGTGGATTTGATGCAGATGTGAAGGCGCGGATCGGTAAAGCAAGAGCAGCATATTTACAACTGAGGAACATCTGGAACTCAAAACAACTCTCTATCAACCAACACCAAGGTCAGGATTTTCAACACAAATGTCAAGACAGTTCTACTATATGGGGCAGAAACCTGGAGAACTACGAAAGCCATCATCCAGAAAATACACGTGTTTATTAACAATTGTCTACGCAAAATACTTCAGATCCATTGGCCGGACACTATTAGCAACAACGTACTGTGGGAGAGAACAAACCAGATCCCAGCGGAGGAAGAAATCAGGAAGAAGCGCTGGAAGTGGATAGGACACACATTGAGGAAAGCACCCGACTGCGTCACAAGACAAGCCCTCACATGGAATCCTGCAGGCCAAAGGAAAAGTAAGAGACCAAAGAACACATTACGCCGGGAACTGGAAATAGACACGAGAAAAATGAACAAGAATTGGATGGAACTAGAAAAGAAGGCCGAGGACAGAGTGGGTTGGAAAATGCTGGTCGGCGGCCTATGCTCCATTGGGAGTAACACGTGTAAATAAGTAAGTAAGTAAGTAAGTAATCAACAAAATTTAATTAAAGTTAGACCACCATTAAAAACCTGAAAGCATTGGACAGCCATTTCGTTCTAGTATGGGACTCAGCAATGCGTTTCCACGATACTGTCTCGTGAGATTCGAACCCAGGACCTATAGGTCTATCAAGCAAACTTTTAAACGCTAGATCACTGAGCCATTCGGTATCCAATAGTGTCGATGTTTAACTTCAACCAATCCATGAAATTGCACCGTCGCCGTGGATACACATTACTGAGAGCAGTCTCATACTACAAGATGAAACAGCCATCCATTGCTTCCAAATTTTTCATAGTGATCTAGCTTTAAGTGACTCATGAATTCAACTACTAAAATTAATATAATATCCACAAAATCCCTCTCTGATTGTAATCATCATATACTCAGTAGCAACGGTCTCCAAGAGGTATTTCCTGAAGTTCTATTGAGAAGCAGTGATCAATGAAGTTCATTTGGGTCTGTTGTGAGGTAGTAACTCACTGAACCCAATGATGGATGTGTCGCTCAATTTCGTGGATTAGTTCAAGTTAGACATTAACACCGTTGGATACCAGCTAGCTCAATAGTATAGTGGTTAAGCGTTCGCACGTGAGAATTATAGTTTCTGGGTTCGAATCTTGCAGGCCGTGACTGTGGATGAGCACTGCTAAGTAGTCCCATATTAGAACGAAACGCTCGTCCAATACTTCCAGCTATCCCAAGATGTTCTACCTTCAATTGACTCATATATTCAACTCTTAAAACATTATTACAATATCCACACACCTACACACACACACACAAACATAAAAACAACATACTCACTTTACACTAATTTCATTGAATAAATTAATTACTTCTTGTAATTTTTCATTAATTATTTGTTCTGTTGAACTTTGTCTTAATAAATCAATTAATGAATTAATTAATTCATCTTTTTTAAAAATTTCATCATATACTACTTGTTTTATATTCAGTAAATTAAAATTTAATTCATTTTTTAAATGAACAATAGGTAGATGAGCATAGAATTGCCATAATTGAATTAGGATTTGACTAAATTTTAATAATGATGGAATACATTCATTTAACCATATAGATAAACACCATGAGAAACAATGCTAATAAGGAGAAAAGGATAAAAGAAGTTCTATTAGTGATTATATTGAATATTATTATAAAAAAACTTCATTGTAAATATATAACTGATAGGTCCGGGGTTCGAATCCCACGAGGCGGAGTCGTGTACGCGCGCTGCTGAGGAGTACCATACTAGGACGAAACGGCCATCCAGTGCTTCCAGGTTTTCCATGGTGGCCTAGTTTCATGAATTCAACTATTCAAATATATATAACCGCTATCTTAATTATAATAGGCATCGAGTGTCTATAGATGAGTCTGTTCTATCTCTTATATAGAATTCTATAGTTAATAAGTATTATTATTATCATTAAGCAAAAATGAATAGTGGCTAGCAGTAGAATCCAGTTTGATGTGCATCTCATCCTATTTGAGACTCGTCAGCTGGATATACCTGCATCTGAGTTGATGTTCACTCCGGGATTCGAACCTAGTACCGTACGCTCCAAACACTATCGCGTTATTCATTTAGCTATTGAGTCCCAAATAGGACGAAACGCACGTCCTGGATTCCACTGCTAGCCACTATTCATCCTTACTTATAATCATTATATTTGTTATATCCGGACGAAGAATAAGTAAATGATAACTGTTAGGGTGTACTTAAGAACTGTTATTATACATATATATTCTTATTGCATAACTATTAAATAACCAGACTACACATGTATTCGTATTTCTTTATTTGACCTATTGACTACTACTGTACGATTTACTATTCTCAATTTATTTTCAATCGATTACAGTCTCTCACAATCATAACCACTTTTTGCTTGGTCATGTACAAATGTTATTTCCTACTTTATGTTATGATGCGGTCTGGTTTGGTTTGTATATAAACCAAGTATGCTTGAAATAAATGATTTATGTGATGGGAGCTATCGCATTATTCACTTAGCTATGCCAGAGTGAACATCAATACTGAGATGCAGGTACATCCAGTTGACGAGTTCCAAATAGGAAGAAACGCACGTCAAAACTGGATTCCACAGCTATCCACTATCCATCTTTGCTTAGAATGCTTGTGAATTAAGACAATATCGAGGCAATACGCACAGTATTCAGATATGCCAATGAAAGACTGATCAATTGCAGTCCTAAACATCGATGGGAAGATTCATGTAAACAATATCATGTGAATTTATTATTATCATTATTATTAGTGGCTATATTCAGTATTATACTTTTGGTACAATATAGAATTCTCAGCGCAAAGTATTTCTTATTTCTTGATCAATCCTGACTATAACATATTGAGTGATCGTCAGTTAGATGTTGGCAGTTCATGAATTGACATTTGAATAATGTTCATTCTTTTCCAATATGTATTGGCAGTTATCACGATATCTCTGATTGGGCCCTTTTGTAACTTGTATACTGAAAGGTCTTAAACTTTTCATAAACGTACCTGAATAAGCTATGAGATTAATAAACATAATAATGTGTTAAAACAAACAATAAAACAAATAACTTGTTAACATATTCAGATGGTAGGAACAAGTAGCCCAGATATTCAAGCAGGCTGCCACTAATGGACTTGTCAATACATGAGCTATCTCTTATACAGGTGTCGCCAATGATTGAATGATGTTTCCACTAACTACTAGCATCAATCATCTGAGTCCGATCAACCAATGTCGTCCATACCACACTTGCTAGACACAAGACCATCTATTTCAAAATATCATAGTCGACCACTTATTCAAACATAGTTAAATGTCACTTGATTCCACTTGGTTTAATCGTATCGATACAAACTAATCGACACACATTTTATTAATTTGTCACACGGTAGTTTTATGCATTACTTACGATGACATTATTTTCTTCAGTTTAAAGTTATTAGCCTTCAGGTTCAATTACAGGTTTGTACAGTTGAGGAGTCCCAAAATTAAAATGAAACAGCTACTGAGTGGCTTCACTGGGGGGGGGGGTCATACCTAGGTCTGTCAGATCTTCAGAGCAGTACTTAATCTACAGACCATTTGGTTGACTTTCAATGATTTACATCTCTAATCCTAGTCAATTTGCGATAATGCTCAACCATGTAAATGTTTGTATGTTGGTTTTGAACAGTTATCTAAATAAATTCGGTTCTTTAAAGTGGTTTGAGGTAACCGACAAGAAACTCCGAACCCTTGTTTTGTGCTATTTCGGCATTCATGATTAAGGTATACCTATAATCTTGAGAGAATTGGCTCTCTCTAGCAAACTTGATCCTGTGTCACTCAGCTTCACAGCTTGAAACATTATCGCTGAGCTATTTGGGTCGTGACTGACCTCCTTCAGGAATAATTTTTCACAATTGACCAATTTCTATTTGGTGACCACTGTCATGTTTGTCAAGTCTAGTATCAAATTCACCAGAGATCATCGACACCTTTAAAATCACAATGACACTTTACTGATGAGTGGGAAATACTATGAAATTTAGATCGAGCAGGATTTCTTGTCGATTATCTCCAATTACTACCTTACATCTTAACATACTGCATGATATGTTGAGTCACTTAGACTAGTAACTATATTGTAATTTGATCGATAAAATTCAATGAGAACTAAGAAGGACTTGAAAGGTAACATACCCCATTCAGTAAATAACTGTTTAATTTTAATATCCCAATTTTCTAGAAATTCTTCCATATTATTTGATGGTACCAAATTTTCACTAGATAGAAAATTATTGAAAATATTTAATAATCTGTAAGATGATTAGCAATAACAAATAATTTTAATCAGAAAGAAGGTTTCATAGAGATTGTAGTAATTTCGATAGTTGAATTCATGAGCCAATTGAAGCTACACCACCATGGAAAACCTGGAAGCACTGGACGGCTGTTTCGTCCTGTTTTGGGACCCCCAGCACTGCACATCCACGACCCCGCCTCGCTGGACTCGAACCTAGGACCTGTCAGTCTCGCGCTAGGCGCTTAACCAGCTAGACCACTGAGACGGCATTCAATGGTGTTAATGTCTAACTTCAACTAACCCACGAAATTGAGCGACAAATCCACCATTGTCATCAGTGAGTTACTACCACACAACTGACCCGGTTGAACTCCACTAGTCACTATTTCTCACTAAAACTCCAAGATATATATCTTGAAGCCAGTCACTAGTGAGCATATGTTAATTAGTATCAGAAGGGGTTTTGTGGAGATTGTGGTAATTTCAACAGTTGAAATCATGAGTCGATTGAAGCTAGACCACCATGGAAAATCTGGAAGCACTGGACGGCGGTTTCGTCCTATTGTAGGACTTCTCACCAGGGTGCATCCAAATTAAATCACTATAATATCTTAAAATCCCCTCTGATTATAATCATCATATACTCACTAGTGACAGTCTCCAAGACGTATTTCCTGGAGTTCTAATGACGTCACTGTATTTATAACAAAACCAGAATGTAGAAATATGTGCTTAAGTAAATATGAATGACACCTCTGTACTACCTGATATTCTTCTTATGAATGAAGCTTTATAAATTGTATTAATAAAACTATTCACGTATTTGTTATATCCTAACGAGAATAATGAATGGTAACTGTTGGGATCCATTTCTAGACTAATGCTATACATACATTCTTATTGTATAATTGTTAAATAGGTAAACTATTCATATTCTTGTTCCTCTTATTATAAGCTTTATATCGATCTATACACTATGATTATACGATTTACCGTTCGAGAGTTATGCTTACTCTATTAATTACAGTCTAGCACATTCACAGCCACTTTTGGCTAAATCTTGTACATATGTGTATTTTCTATTTTGTGATACTATATGGTCTGTTTGTTTTAAATATAAACCCAGTTTGTCTAAAATACGTGGTTCATATCGTGGGGGCTGAGATTGGTGTTCTGGACTTAACAGTTAGGGCTAGGCGGGAAGCAAGACCGATAAGGACTCTAGACTGCTGATGCGGTTTTGTGCGTCATTGTTCCGGTCGATAAATTACTGTTCTCTAATTGGCAGTATCATTACGTTTATATATTAATGGAACATAAAGCTACAAGATATAACAGTATTTAGTTTTGAATATGATCGTCTTTTATGATGTCTGATGACATATTTAGTCAATCAGTTAGTCAAACACAACATAGAACATGACACATATGTACATCGACTGAATTTCCCAATACCCCATTACCACAGCTAGATATAATTATCATTTGAAGATGAAATGATGGATAATTATAACCTGTAACCTGTTGAGGATGTTAGATCCCCAGAACTCACTTGATAAGTACCTTATTTTTGTAATTTTATTTTAAAAATTTGAATTTCTTTTTTTTGCGCCAAAAACGTTCACTTTCACCTTCATGTTGTATTTCCCACTTGGAAGAATCTTAAACGCTGTTGGTTCGTTGTATCTTTTAGTACGCTATTTTGTAACGCTTCCCAATGACAATTTTATGCTTTATATATATACGTTTGATTTGTGCCTGTTGTTAATGCTCGTGCTTCTGGCTGCTTGCAGAATATATTTCCCCATTTCGAACTTGAACTTCTCTCCCTAGTTATCGACGATGGGACGCATCAGAATAGCTAACTTATTGGTCTTTAGTCACAGAGTTATTGTTCCGTCCACAGACTAGGTGAACTCATAATCGCTTCAAACATATAGCATAAGCAAATATTTAAATATTTCACAAAATAAGATACTTACCATAATTCATTGATCAGATTATCTTTTCGCTTTTCAAATTCAGTTATGTTTGTTGTTAAATCATTTATCTTTATTTTGACATCAATAGGATACCGGAATTTCTCATCATTAAGACAAATTCTGTAGTAATAATAATAATAATAATAATGATATAATAACACTATTAATTATTTGTGGATGGTATTCATCACAAACTAATCTTAATCAGGGTAATTTAGGAAACTAAACAATACTGTATCGCTCTTTCATCCTAGTGTGAGAAACTTCAGTAGAATGAATCTATGACCTGACTATACATCAAACCTAAAGTACCTCTTAAATCTTGAGATATATCACCTAAGGTTGACGAACCGTTTGTCACAATAATCATACAAATCTTAAACCGGTTGACTGCATTTACCAATATTAGGTCAGATGAACAATCGATGATTTCACAGATTGATGCCATATTTCGATTTAGCCGCTCCTAGCTTTCTTTCAATGTACGCCTATGTCAAACAGAGGAGTAGTACATAGATCAAGATCCAAAATCATATCAACTAATTTGTTCAAGTCCCAAATTGAATGGAATGTATGTTCAAGAGTTGACTACCATTTGACATATAATCAATGTCCAACTACAGACAATACATGTAGCGATCCGCCCAAGGAACTAATACACCTCGTTGAAATCCACTGGTCACTGCTTCTCACTAGAATTCCGGGTAATACCTCTTGAAGCCAGTCAATAGTGAGCATATGTTGATTAGTATGAGAAGGGGTTTTTTGTGGATATTATAACAATTTTATTAGTTGAATTCATAGGTCATTTGAAGCTAGACCACAATGGAAAATCTGGAAGCACTGGATGGCCGTTTGGTTCCAGTATGGTACTCTTCAGCAGTGCACATCCACGATCCCGGCCCACGGGATTCGAACCCAGGACCTATCGCTGAAGTTAGACATTAATACCGTTAGATGCCTGCTCAGTAGTCTAGATGTTAAGCGTTCGTGTGTGAAACCTATAGGTCCTGGGTTCGAATCTCGCTGGGTGGGATCGTGGATGCCAAAAATCGCTTACAAGTAATTATTAACATGCATATTGTTTTGAATGGACATTTTATTCATTGAGATGAATGATTTAATCATGAAGGTTTTATTGTTTGTTTTTTCCCAAAAATACCATTAGTTTCATAACAAAACTAGTCAACTTATAGTGCGCGTAACTGTAGTGAACAAGAACACCAGTGGGGACAATCGAATGTAGTTGACACGAAATTACAGGACTTGTTAATAAAATCTAACAATCAAATAATAAATACGTAATTTCCGAAATGTCCATCAATTGTAATCACAATTGATTGATCACTGGGTGATGATCAATGTCATGCGTGTTTAGTCCTTATTAGTGCAGATCAAATGCTATCGATCATGTTGCAATGTGGCCACCAGTCTAGGTCACTCGACACTACGGGCACTATATATTGAGATTAGATGGTGGTTGGAGGTAGTCCACAGAAAACCCTGGACCCGGGTTTCCTGTGGACTACCTCCAACCACCATCTAGTCCATCAATTGTCTCATAATGACTCAGACTTCATTGTTATTGCATTTTCATACAAATTGCATTCTGTTTCCATTCTTTACTGTTCGATCCTCTTGTCTCTCTACTGCCAGATATTGTGTTCACGACTAATATCATCTACTACTTATGTCAATATAAGTAGCACACACCACATAACAACATATCCAAAATCCCTACTTTTCAACTACAATTATTACCTATCATTTCAACAAGAATATCATCAACAACAACAATAACAACAGAAAAAATGGATAATTATCATCATTTTACCGAAAATTATGTACAGCTTTATTGATATTTATGATTTGCCAACGATTACGTCGTTCAGACCATGTAAGATTGGTAAAACGATGATGCATTAATTCAGCAAGATGAAGATTTTTAATTAGATTAGCTAATTCACGACGATTTTCCAATAATTCAATATCAATTGTCTAAATATTGAATTGAATTGACAATAATAAAAAAATAAATATTTATATATTAAATTCATGAAATGATCTAATGTAAAACATGGAAGAAGTGGATGGTCTTTACGTCTTAGTATAAGATTCCACAATAGGTCACATTCATTTAGGACTCGAACAAGTTCACTTGTTAAAAGAAAACGGCGAGACTGTAATTTATGGATGAGCCAATCAGAAGCGGTTTAGAGATTTCAATGTTACAGCGCCAACTTCAGTGCTAAATGCTAATGTACTATCGGTTCATAGGGAATTTTGTACAAAACGTGATAATTGAGCGGCTATAATAAATAAAACGCCGAGACTATAGTTTGTGGATGAATCAATCAGGTATGAGATAATAGATCTCGGATTTTAACGTGAAAGCCTTTCATCCATTTGGCTAAATAAAATTTCTGGCATTATAGCTGATGTCAGTTCGTGATGAAAACCCCATATATAATTCCTAATTAAGGCAAATTACGACAATTATTGCGAACTGGATAATAAAAGCACCAGTAACACTGGCTGCATCCAGGTACTACAATATATACGGATGATTGAAGAGCGTACAGACTCCTAAATAGGCTTGTTTATGTGCATCGTATCGTTATCCACAAGTAGCATTTTGTACACTCAACAACCGGAGTGCACTTTAACAATATTGAAGCCATGTGGTCGAGGCTGAAAGAGTATTTGAGACTTTATCATGGCTCCAGAGGCCGACTATTCTGTAGCCGCCGTATGGATGATTTCCTCTACTGCATACATTACGATTTTAGAATATTTGAACCTCTTTTTAACCTTGACAAGCTTTTGAACCACGTATAAGAAGTGTATCCACTTTATTCTCCTAGTTTTGTATAACATATTTTTACTATATACTTACTGTATGCTGATTGGCTAATATTCCTCAAGGTCACTGAAGATTCGTTCAAAGATCGTCCATAAATTAGAGTCTCGCCAAGAAAACTCCTCATAAATATTTTCACAAGTCAGGTGAATGTTGAAAATATTTTGACCAATCAGTGTTTTTTTTTCGAGAAACTTCCATCATAAATACAGAAAATCACTGATTATGTTTTCGTTATCCTAATTAGGCGATGATCAAATTTGTTATGAATTTTAGCATGCATTCTAAAAGCTTCTAGAATGTCCAGCGCTTTAACCGGGTTGATGAATATATGGTGGACCCACCTGGGGGAGTTGGAAAACGCTCATTCCAAACCAATGGTTCACATGGGCTCCAGGATCCTAAAGATACAAATGACGTATGAACCTATTGTTGGTCATGGAATTGCATCTTCCTACGTTGCTCCACTGCCTTGTGGACTAAACCTTTAGATCAAAGGCTTCGAGTGTGGCCCTCTAAGAAAACCACCTACTTCGTTTTGGGCACTCGTACAGTATCACAGCACTCACACAAATCAACTGACTTGTGTGGCGCACACCAAGGTCACACACGGTCCTATAAATACCCTCATTTTTTGTATTGTTGAATTTTGATAATTAAGGTTTACTATGAACGAATGATGATTACAAATATAGAGAGAGTTCAACTACCCTAATGCAATCAATAATAAAAGACACCATACAACATTCGATCATTAACATATCAAGAAGATGAACTATTAGGAAGACTTGATATATATTCAAAACAGAACAAGTCGAGTAAAACAAAATGATATAATTGTTGGGGCGACCCATAAAATTCCTCTCAAAGGTCAAGCAAGGATCAGGAAACACTAAGAAGCGTTTCCCTCAATCAGCGTTCACTTGAAGCTTTAGCTAGAAATATCAAGGGGGCGAAACGTCAGATCCAGAGGTTCTGATTGGCTGATGGTTACACTCCTACTATGTTTAATAGCATTCCAGAATCTTCTAGCAACCCAAAGACATTTAAAATATTATAAAAACCCTATATTTTCTGTAATGAAATGAACCTTGCAGTAAAGTGCTTCTCGCGTATTTTGCGCCTTCTCTCTCTCGTGTTCAGGTCGCTGTATAGTTCTAGCTTAGGGGTTACGAGAGTAGCTTAGGAGACGAATATAGCGTTCAATTTGCATGACTTATCAATAACTCCTTTTAAAGCTTACATGAAATAAATGAATTAAAACCAATGAGAATCAATCAGAAATAACGAAAAGTCATACGACAAATTGATTTCAAAAAAGAGTAATTGATCACCTTAGTGATCAACTTAATCTCTTCTTCCTAATTTTATTTTTATGTTCTGAGTTCAAGAGTGGAAATTGCCTACGAGTTAAGAAGTAGTTGTGAAGTAAATGTTGTAGAATGCAGCTTATCAAATTACTAAATAGACATATCCTATTGATATTCAGATTCAATTTGATTATTCATAAATCACTAGCTAATTAGTGATTGTGATCATCAATTGATTGATGTTAGATCACCATTGAAAGCCTGGAAGCACTGGACGGCTGTTTCGTCCTATTGTGGAACTCTTTAGCAGCGCGCATCCACGATCCCGCTCCGCAGAATTCAGACCCAGGACGCGCGTGAGACTGAAAGACCTGGATTCGAGTCCCTTTGGTGCAGGATTGTGGATGTGCACTGTTGAAGAGTTCCATACTGGGCTGAAACAGTTGTCCAGTACTTCTAGGTTTTCCATGGTGGTCTATTTTCAATTAACTCATATTCTCAACTATTGAAAATATCTACATATACTTAAACCATATTCATAAATGTTGATGTTCTATCTCTGTAGATTAGTGTCAACAAACTATATTTTTATTCCTACAGAGCTTGACATAATCCTCAATGAGATTCGAACTCTTACATCATATACATACAAACTTTCAATGTTTAACTTGATATTATATAGTAACAAATTATACTTATTACGTAATTCAATGCCTAACAACAAACTCACAAATATTTCTTTCTGTAATACAATTTGTAATTCATTTGGTGTTAAATGTGAATATTTACTTAAATAATCTGTCAATTCATGAAATTCCTGTTTTATCTAAACAAGAACAACAACAGAAAAACAAAGAGAAAACATTGAAGAAACCAGTTATACTAAGATATAATGATAACGGTATTGGTATGGTAGTGAACGAAGACACAGAAAGAGGACAGTCGAATGTATTTGAATAAGAAATTACAGAATCTGAGAACCATACAATAAATACTTCATTTGTAAAATGTCAATCAATTGTCTCAGACTTCATTGTTGTTTTGTTTCCACACCAATCATTCTGTGTTCTGGTTCTCTTTTCTTCAAACTTCTTAACGTTCTACCGCTAGACATTTCACATTCTATTGATTATACATACTACTGATATTTATCGACATCATTAGTACAAACCACTACATTGCGAAGTGATGCATGGATGATAGTTGACAGATACATTCCAAGCGAGGGCCGGAGTCTGACAAGGCTGCTTACTCTCGCTCTTTCTCTTTCTTCTGATAGTCGACTGGATTATGAAGACCTCCACATATGAGTTGAAGCACAGAATACAATCGACGGCTTGGATGCGGATAGACGATCTGGACTTATCAAATGGCCATGCCTTTCTATCCCATACACAACAACAACTGCAAATCAAGACAACTAGTGTAGCAGAAGCCTCTGCAGCAGCAGACTTCAAGGTGCACAATAGAAAGAGCAATATCTTCAATTGTAACACGAACAACACCAACTCAATCACACTTGATAGAGAAACTTTGAAAGAGGTGGAAACTTTCACGTACCAGAACAGCATCATCGATGAACAAAGAGGATTGGATGCAGACGTAAAGGCATGGATTGGAAAGTAAGTGCAGCATTCATACAGCTGGTGGTCAGCCTATGCTCGTCTACGAGGGGTATTACGTGTAGGTAAGTAATAACTTATATCGCAATGTGTTAAGTGTTGTAGAACAGAGTCTTAACTCGTAGATTTCAGTTTCGTTAAGAGTGAAATGTTGTTTATGAATGTTGCTGGAAAGTTATTTATTTTGATGGAGTTTTTTTTCTCTGAGCTGAATGGTTTGGTCGTAGAGGTTTGATCGTTCTCCTGAACGACATCATCAGCACATACTCCAGGTACCTGAACTAGAAATCTTCTCTACCAACTCTTCATCTTTCCTCAAAACCTGGATATCGAAATTGTCTCTACGAAACCATTTTTCTCAAATCATATCTATCTCTGTCTTCTTCTACTATTCTAGTATTTATTTTATCAATCTCTTGTCTCTGTGCTAATAAATTGTGGTAACTAGGACCAGTGTACATATATCTCAGGTGCTACTTTGCATATTACTTACTGAAGAGGAGGTGATACAATGAGTAAGAATTATGTTTAATAGTCTTAATTCATTGGTAAGCAAATGGCCTACAACAGCCTGTAACATCAAATCATTTTCACTTTTCTGTTAACAGGTTGTATATCAGAGTGTTATTTTATTATGTAAGAAAGCTTGATCTTTTGATTAAGGATTTTGTCTTTGATTACCGTCTATTCCAGAGTTAGAATCAATAATCTGGTATTGTGAGTAGTTATCATTCAGTCACAATGTATCATAGTATAGTCATTAATTGATCGGGATAGTATTCACTAATTTTGATCATATAAAACTAGTTCATCAAACACCTTTCCCATAACACTGTGACATTTTTGACATGAAGCTGAATAATACAGCTATTGGTAAATTAACTTTATTGGTAACGGTTCAAATTATCCGGTTGTTTATATTTTGACTGAAATTTAATCATTATTATTTGGAATATGTACATCCTGTGCGGATCGCTTCCATATAATCGCTATGACAGAAGTTCATATGAAATAGATAGGATATGGTCAGCAGTGGAATCCAGAATATGTGTCATTTCGTTCTATTTAGGATTCGTCAAGTGGATCAACCTGCATCCAAGAGCGAGTTGATACTCAATCTAGGACTTGGACCTTAACAAATTATTCACTCAGTTACTGATTCTAAACAACCACTTACTTGTACAACGGGTGTTTGATGAGAAAAACA